TAGAGCAGGGCCCATAGTTTCAATCCTAACTTTTCTTCCCTGCAGTAGCTTCTTCCACAGACATTATTCAAGGTCTCATGTCACTCTGCATGCATAATGCAATATTTTGTTGCCCTTCCATTCTGGATAATACTTGATAATTGAACATCACAGCTAAGACTAAATAAAATATTTTTAAATAGCCAATAATTTTAAAGAAGGTTATGGAGCAATCATGCTTTGAGATGCAACATTTATTCTTCACAGGAGCTATGGGCTTTTTGGCATCAGCATTGCAGAGAGAAAACCAGGAGGCCAGCTTTGCTCAATAAAGAAAGGTGGGGAATTTTCCTGGAGAATTTTTGTGAGCATTAAAGATAGGAGCTGCACTAGCCATTTTTTTTTTGGAGGGGGCCTGAATTTTTAGAGAAGGGACAGGCTGCAAACATGAAGCTAGTATTGTGCAAATATAATTTTAGGCTTTGTAGTAATTCTTGTAATAAAAAAAACACAGGTAATGTTGGAAGCATCTTATTTTCCCATTAATCTTTCCTGAACTAAGCACACGGATGACTTCTTTCTCTAGTCTGGTCTTCTCTTCAAAGTATCAAATAGAAGCAGCATACAGGGAGCAGCCAAAATGGCTCACTCATTAATTTCAGAAAACTGGTAGTTCAGACACAGAGAAAGACAGTTTTTCTATTTTAATCATTGCTTAGGAGAGCAAAAGGGACTAGCTACAGCTTGTCAGGAAGGGATGAGACCAGCTGAACCTTATGAAAGGCCAGCTCTGTGTACCAATTACAGGCATAGGGATGCTGTCCTACCTTCCTTTTGATCACTCAAATATGACAGTGAGTGGCGTCACAGAGATGAAGGAAATTTACCAATGGGGTAAGTCATCACTAACATACTGAGCCATTGCTCATTTTAACTGAAGTATTGCTGTAATGTTACACTGCCAAAGCAATGGTCTGATGTAAAATTCAACTGTTGTTGTAACTAATGGCACTACTGAATCATTGAGAGATGTACTGTAGTCCTTAGTCTTTTTATGCATGTTAGAGTTCTCTCTGTAATTTTAGAATAGCAGCTACATTTGCTGTCATCCTCTTTTTTTAAAAATCGTTCTATAGTTATACAGCACTTGGTAAGCTTTCATTCCAAAATTGATGACATATACCAGGGATCTTCAAACTTGGCCCTTTTATGACTTGTGGACTTCAACTCCCAGAATTTCTCAGCCAGCGTGCCTGATTAGATGACCTCCAAGGTCCCTTCCATCATCATCATCATCATCATCATCATCATCATCATCATTATTATTATTATTGCAAAGCAAACTACCAAGGTCAGAAACATTGAAGACTCTGCAGTTCAATTCTGAACCATTTATATTCTTCTATTAGAAACTGAGCTATTGCTGTTTTTTGTTTTTGTTTTTTTTGTAATTATAGCATAGTACTTGTCTCTGTTTCTTTGCTGAGGGAGCCAGCATTGTCCAAAGACACTTCTGTGGTCATGTGATCCTCACTGCGCCCTCACTAAAGCACCAGTAGTTCTGCACCCTCACTGCATCAAGCAGAATATTATTTGGCAGTCTTATTTATGATGATCTGTTCCCATTTATGAAAGGACAGGACAGAAGATCTCCTTTAGGGCTGCTCTGGCAGGTTTGCTTAACATCTAGCTGACCAATTTCCTCATGTTCGTTCATATGTCAGTTCCTCATTGGAAGAATTAATGGAAATAACCATGATTTTGGAATTCCTTTCAGAATGTAGATTCAGAGGCTGTAGCATTACTTTGAAGGTGCTTTGAAGAAGTGTGGCACAGAGAAGACATGCATCTGAGATCTTAATAGATGGCACTATTTAATTGAAGGAACCCGAGCATGCCAGCCCTCGTTGAGCAGATATGTGAATCCAGGAAGACCTACAAACTCAAGTTTGTAGAAGTACTACTCCATTCAAGGATAAAGATGGAATCTTCCCAGAGCTAGGTGGCAGTAAAATATGCAGCCAATCTTGATAGGACTGGGTCAGAGATAATTCCTCCCCAGGAGCTATAAAATTTCTAGGCAGTGAAATAAGACCTCAGAAGCTTCATTTGGCTGACATAGGCTTAAAAGGTATAAATGGACATGGTGATGATACTGAATCTGACTATAGCAACACACTGGTATTAATGACTACTAGTTCATGTTGAAATTGCCCAAGACAAAAACTAGCTCTAACGAGTGACTGTTATATTAGGACCATTGTATATATAGGACCATTGATAACTGGCAACAGGTCTATTGTTGCCATGGAGGCTACAAAACTGTGAGCCATCCCATGACAGATTGCAGCTTCTGAGGATTAATACTCATGGACATTCTATCAGTGGCCCAGTGATGGAGTTCAGCTACTCAGGTAAGGAGGTTGCTGGCAGCAGGGAAGGTGATTTAGTAGCAGCAACCCAAACAGTTGTGTTATGGTCAACATCAACCAGAGTCCTTACATTCAGTTATCTGTAGAACAGAGCTCTGACATTGTATGACTCGCAGTTGACAATAGTTACCCCTCTGTCCTTTGCTGCTGATGGAGAACCCCCCAAAAGGTGGAGACATATTCCAGCTCCAATCAACTCTCATTTAAATGTGCCAGAATCCTCATCTATGGTAAGATCATGAATGAAGGCAGCTATATTCCACAAAGACAACTATATTCCACAAAGGCAGCTATATTCCACATTCAAAAGCAGAAGCTGGACAGGTTCCAAGGGTAGGAACCATGGGCTGGACAGTGTGACCACTTTCAAATAATAGATGGTTGATTTGAAATATATTGATTTTAATTTTACTTCTAATTTTTTTAAATGTTGTGTTTTTAATTGCTTTAAGCTGCCTCGATTGTCACAGGAAGAGAGAAGCAGAATGCAAATTTAATAAATTAAGAAAAATAGAAATCCTCTGGATGTTTTCTTTTTTAAAAAAGTTTGAGTTCAGTGGGATTTATATAAGAATAAATATATTTACAAAGAACACAAATTAATTGGATCAGTTTAATTGATGGGTCAATTTTCTTTAAAGAGTTCATTAATACATGGTATTTTCTTCCATTTTTACCATATCGTGTGAAAATAATATCTTGAAGTGGCACACAGCGACGTATGAAAACAATTTTATAACATATGAAACAATTCCATGATTAAAGCATTAAAACATTTCAAGATACTTCCTGAGAATGATCTCCAATGAATCAGTGATTGAATGTATTACAAACGGTAAATCTGTAAACAATGTAAATCAGAGTGGGAATAACATCTGGAACAAAATGTAAAAATTAAAAAAAAGACATAAAAGACATGGTTCTCTAGATAAAAATTAGAATTATGAGCCAATCCATATGTTGTTAAAATGGCATGAAAGGATCACTGAGTATGTATTTCATTTGACACATTTTGTGTAATAAAACACATGCAAAATCTCAAAGTAATGATTAATTTGTTTACACCTTCATCTTTGTGACCTCTGCCAACACTTCCAATTTCTCTGAGTTGTGCTATGGAACAGTAATTTTTAATTTCACTTGCTTTCTCCAAAGTGGCTAAATGCCAGATTTACATCCACTTGCTTTTCCTGTGAAGCTGATCATGCAGCTCTAATTAAAATCAATCAAAGCCTTCAGCATTATTTAAAAGAATAACTATCTCTTTCTTGTTCTCCCTTCTCTCATCTCCCAAGTTTTTGAGATACCTCTGAAGAGAGAAAGATTGTATCTTTTGATTAAATCTATAGTATCTAGCAGGTGGCGGTAATTGGTGGAGTTTTTCTTGGCTGAGAAACCAAGACAGAGTTGGTTAATAGGCTGATGGGCCACTGAGAGGAAACCCGAAAGCTGTAGGTCAGGGGTCTTCAAACTTGGCCTTTTTATCACTTGTGGACTTCAACTCCCAGAGTTGAGGAATTCTGGGAGTTGAAGTCCACAAGTCATAAAAGGGCCAAGTTTGAAGACCCCAAGGCTGTAGGTTGTATTGGAAAGTTCCATAGTTATATCCATGAAATCATGAAGAATGAAGATCAGCTTGAAACATTACCTTTGCCTGACTGGATTAACTGAGACGATTTTTCAGCAAATAAAGGTAAATTTATTACTAACAACTACTAGTTGCAAGAACCGGGCTCTAAAAAAAATTTCAAATAATTTAGAGTCATTAAAAAAAGCTATTAAAGCTATGTTTGTGTAATAGTATGTTGGAATGTTCTTGGGAAACAAGGGGAAGAGATGCTGCCTATGATAAGATCAGATAAAAGAGGGAGGAGCCCATACTTGAATCATGGACTAAGAAAGAAACTTAGGAAGGATCCACCCTAGCTTGTCAGGCAGTAAACAGAGACAGTTGGACACTTGCACTTTCAGACTTGCAAGATTCTTTCAATGTCACCCCACAATAAAGTTGACTGTATTAAAATTCATTCATCTTTTTGTGTTTTCTGTCTGGTCTGCTTGGGATGCTGACAATTTGCAGATCCTTAGAATGTTTAACCTAGTCAGGAGTAGGCAACCTTGGCTCTTTTATGACTTGTAGACTTCAACTCCCAGAATTCCTGAGCTAGCCATGCTGGCTCAGGAACCTGGGAATTGAAGTCCACGAGACATAAAAGAGTCAAGGTTGCCTACTCCTTACCTAGCTACTGTATTTCAATGTTTACACACAAAGAGAATTTCTCTCTCCAGCGAATGATACATTTGCAGATCAATATCTAATTATATTTGTTCATATACAACACAATTCTTTTCAAAATATGCCCACTGAGTTAAATTAGAGAATGTAGCATAAAAATGATTTAGTCCTATCGGGATAAATAAATGTTTGAGCTGAAGCACCCTGATTACTACAGTAATGAAACATTAGGTTGGGCTGCATTGTATTCATATTGTGGATTGTTGTGGACCATTGTGGACCAGGATAACATATTAATTTAAAAATGAGGTTCAACAGGTTCATGCTAGATGAAAACCACTCCAGATATAACATGCAAAGTCATACGAATCATATCAATTACTTTAAAGTAAGGAACATCTGGTTAACATCTAAAATATAACGTATTTTAAGTATTTATCTAGAGGAAAAAGAGGGGAAAACAAGTGTGTTGATCACTAAGATATGTTTTCATACACAAAACTGTTGTCTAAATCAGGTCCATTGATTACCAATATAAGAAACCTATGTGGACTTCTTAAAGGTTCATGAATAAGATGGTGATACAGGTCTATCAGATCCTGTATCTGCTAATCAGATCAGATCCCTCAAACCATTATGTAATGGTGTTGTCATAGATAGATGAACTGAAAAGAATCAAGGTCATTCTAAATATTGTTGCTGACACTGATTTTTGATAGGAGCACAGCGTAGAACACATTTTAATTTTTTTTCACTGCAGCCAGATCTGATATATATGTAGGTATATTACTTTACAACTCCACTGCAAGAAAATACAGAATAAAATCATTCGTCATTTGATATCAAAGGTTGTGCCTGCAGTGGAAATAATTCATATTCATAGATCAGCCCTGAAATCTGAAGATTAAAAAAAACTAGAAATAGGATGTTCTAGAAGCAAAGTATTCAAATTATGGTAAAATATATAACTGTTTTTATTTCCTAGGCAACAGTTAAAAAAATATTCTGGAGATCGCAGTCAATTAAATTACACATAGAAATTAAAAGGACCCTTGCCTTGTTGCCTAACCACAATGTTGAATTACATCAGGTAATCCATATTGTTCCTAAAGATGTATTTACCATTCTAGGCTCCCAGTTAACACCTTTCTTTTATGTTGTCCTACCTTATGACAGAGAGTGCATCTTCATGTATTTCTATATGATGGAAGTGAACATGAACAATTTCAATCCTCAATTGTCTACTTGAACATTGCATAAGAATAATCTATTTTGATTATATATAGGTAAAGGATTGACTTTAGCACTATAATCATATGATACAGAGACATCATATCAATATTACTAATGCTTAATCAAACTTCTGATCAATGTATAAATAAAAATATTTTGTGTCTTTGTAACTTTCCTGTTGAGGAATTAATATATTCTGCAAATGACCCCCTGCTTAATAAGGATTTAGTTGATGTACAGTAGCTGCATGTACGAATCAACTATAAGAGTGTCTTGCTAATTTTGAATTCATGCACATCATAATATAATCTTTTCTGCCATGAAAAAAAAATAAGAATTAGGACTTATTCCTTGCAGCTCTTCAACTAAAGTAATAAAAATACTTTTAATATGTTTAATGCTCGATATTTGTTGCTAAGCACTGTCAGGCCATTCCTTGGGCAAAGAAAATATGAGATTGTGAACTCTCAGAATTAATAGCAATGAATCAGGCAGGCAGTGAATTGGATGGCCTGTCCTTCATAGCCAACCTTGAGGAGAAGAAATGTCCTCATAAAATGTTGGATATATTCCCAGGTTTGCTGTACAAAATTATTAAAACAAACAATCATTGGGAATAGGGTCCCCTAAAGTACAGGAACCAGATAAGTCTCTTGGCCAGCAGCAAAACATTTTGAATAGTGTACCATTAAAGCAGTAAAAAGCTTATTAGGGAAGGTTTAGTTGGGTTAATGATATGTTGTAATGTTGGAAGTACTTGCTTATTTTCCAACTCTCCCCCCCAGCAGCAATTCAAACATTTTCTAAAGGGAGGAGGGGAATACAACTCCTTTTACAGTGTGATTATCAGTCCAAAGTACCAAATTCCAGTAGCAGGTTTTCACAAAACACAGGAAATGACATGTAGCTGGTCTATGAACAAGGAACTCTCTGTGGGGCACACAGCTACTCTGGATAGGTGTTTTAGGCAAGTTTAAACTAAGCTCATTTGATGCCAGATGTGGCAGCAAAAAGAAAAAAAATGAAACAACAATTAACCAATTTGTGTTTACAGAAGATTGAAAGAAAAGAAAAAAAAACACTTTCCTTCTTTGGAATAAAAGCCGACAACAGATATAATGGGAATGAACCAAAATTCCCCTGCATTCGCCATGCTGACTGAAGCACTGGAAGTTGTCATTCAGCAGGATCCGGAGGACCCACGATTCTCCTGTGTTCTTGATCCAGCACCAGTCTCCTCAGAAACATGGCATTAGAAGTTGGACTTCTCTAGTAATATCAAGAGAAATTAAAAGCTAACAACATTGAGGTAGGAAGAACCATGGTGGAACTCAGCTGACCTTCTGTGGGAGGGAGGGTGTGAGCTGGAGCCCAGAAAATCTTTGGAAGTGAAGCAAAGTCCTGCTTGAACATCTTTATCCTTAAGCTGTCTTCTAAAATGCTTCCATTTTAGAATGCTGTTCCCAGATTCTAAGGTCTTGACTGAGTGCTCTACAGTTTGCTGCTGGATTGTCCTCCTTCAGTCATGTGGCACCCTACAGGATTTCTCAGAAATAATTTAAAAAATAATTCCAGCCAAACCATCAACTAGTTTTTTCAGTACAAGATGCAATTCATTTGGCCCTCCAGATTTAAACTCATTCCAAGTAAAGAGATATTCCCTAATTATTTTTCTATCAGTCTTGGTTATCAATCCTGACTCTTTAATTTCTTTTATAGGTTTTTGTTGTTGTTGAAGATTGAACAAAAGTAGAAGTTGAGTACTTATATATTTTACCTATTAGCATATAGTCCTCTTCATTGAATAGCTGATTTACAGATTTTTTTTTCTTTTCCTTTTACTTTGAGCATATACTGTATGTAACCATACAGTATATAAAGAAACTACATTCAGTATACACAAGTTAGTTCCCATTGCTATACTGGGATAGAGAGCTACACCTCTTGGTTTTGTGCCATTTATTTCTCTTTCTTCCAGTCTCAGCATATTTGTATACCCAAAATTTCTTGAGATTGGGGCAGTTTATAAATAATGTAATATATGTAAATACATTGATATTATATCTGTATGATTTTTTTAGCTGTCACTATTGGAGTCACATTCTCCATTGCAAAAAGATGGATGCATGTTTGTTTAGAGCAGATATGTACTTTAAAAATCACTTTGTGATAATCCTATAAACTGCAGTGTCTAACACACTGTTTCTGTGATTTCCAATCAAAACATAGAACTCTGATTGCTTAGAGATAATAAAATAATTATTTTAATTGATAATGTTTGTTTTACATCTTGTATATTTATTCTTTGAGCTTTTTGTATCTTTTAAGTACCCACTAATAACTCCTGAGTATGACTGATATATAATTATAGACATCCCACATTTTTGTTGGTTTATTTACCTGCTCAGTAAAGCATGTTAGTTCTCACCAATTTGCCTGTTTCCACCTCCGTTTTAATTACTAAATACTTAATCAATCCCACACAAAGCCTTTGCTTGTTCTCTCAGGCTCATGGAGATAAGGGGATGGGGTAGGGAATGCAAAGATACTGTACCTGCAATGAAACATATTTTTCATTGACCTTTCCCAAAAAGATACACAAAACATTTTTCTGTGAATGATGGAACCATGCATTTTTTTCACCCAATAATGGACTTCGTTCCAAGAAAATCTCTCATCATGTCACTAAATCCTAGCCTTCCCAACCTGATGATCTCAGGATGTATCTGGACAGCAACTCATAATTTTGAACTATGGTATATGGAATTATGGGATTGAAGTCCTACAGAGGGTGTCAATTTGGGGAAGGCTGATTTACACAAAAAAGAGTCTTCTGTGCCAATAACATACTTTAGTAGTAGAAAAGGATGATTAGATAGATAGATAGATAGATAGATAGATAGATAGATAGATAGATAGATAGATAGATGTGAATATCTATTTATATATTTTATCATAGAACTTCCCACAGAAAATCATGGAGAATAAGAGGTTTAAGATCCTGTGGGATTTCCAGATCCTGACTGATAGTTTTGTACTAGTCAATTAACTAGACATCATGGCAGTAGACAAAGACCAGAAGACAGCAGTGATGATAGATCTAGCTGTTCCAAGATACATCAGGAAGGAGATGAGAAGCTGGAGAAGTACCAGACCTTGAAAGAGGAACTAGAGAGGATGTGCAAAGTAAAGGCCAAAGTGGTCCCAATGGTGGTAGAAACACTTGGGGCCAAAAAAGTGGAAACCCATTAATGCAAAGCTTCAGTAGATCTCCTAGGCACCTGCAATTTGCTACAATGCCAACAAGCATCATATGCTATGTCTTGTAACATTACATACAAGTACATAAGAAGCAGAGTTCAAGTCATGACATCACAATGCAAGTTTCATCGCTTTCCTTATCTGGCCTCTCATATGGCTTGAACAGAACCTAACTATAGTTAATTTACCATTTCACTTTAACACTTTAGTTATTTAAGTAATTTCCCCATTCTATTCTAAAAGCTACAGCCCTAAAGAACAATTACCGTATTTTTCATAAAATAATCTTCTTTGTGTTCTTTTTTTTTGTTTAAGATAAACATGATATACCACCATGAAGCATAACAGCAAAGATGAGAAGCACAGAAAAAGTGATGGAAAAGAATGTAACTTGGCAGAATTATAGCATGAACCTAAGATCTACTGAAATGGATAGGTAAACAGAAGAGTCTTCTTCTAATCTGAAAAACATTTAGAAAATGTCCCTGGGGAAAAACATCCTAAATTTGGGACACTGTGAGATAAAGTCCTTATCTCTAGTCACCAGTCTACTTAATTTGAATAAAGAATGATAAATATGGAGATCTAAAAAGAAAAAAGAACAGAAGAAGAGAATCCTCCAAGTAGCCATGTCTGAACATATTTAGAACTTAATTATGTTTTCTTTCTTACGTTTTTTAAGAAACATCCCACTATATTTGAGAGAGTATATGCATTTATATGCATTTAGGATATATGGAATTACATCAGATCATCAAGTAGGGCCTTTTCAATAAATCTCTTTGGGGGAGGAGAAGAAACACCTTGACAGCTGCCAGTAGACTTTCATGTTCCCTCCCCTAATTGTTGAGTGAGTTGAAGAACAATTATAATTTGGGAGTTTGGGACAATAACTATTGATTATTGTCCTATCTCTCCTAGATAATACTTGCTCATCTATTTTTTCTTCACAGCAACAACCATTTAAGTTTGCTGGATTGAGAGAGAGTGACTGGCCCAAAGTGATGCATTAGCTTCTGGGTTTAAGGACAGATAAATCCATAATTATCATTAGAGTTTCCTACACCAAAGTTTTAACCACTATAGCACACTGGTTTTCAGTTTGTCCTGATATTCTTTCTGTATATACAGTTTTCAGATATTTTTTCTCTCTTTTTCACTCCAAACTTTTTTTTAAAAAAAAGTTTTCTTAGAATATATTGGCTCAATTTGATGTTATCTACTAATACGGTTTAAGCTATTTATAGCTGATTCAGCCTGCAGCATAGCAGCTGAAATTTGCACTAAATACATTTTCTGGGAAACTTTCAGGAAACTAACTCAGTTGTTACCTATGCTTGAATTATTATGCTGAGACTGTCTGTGAAGATTAGAGCATTGCATGTCTTAGCTTAGCTATTTGGTGATAATATTGACTTTGCTGATATCCTAGTACAGATAAGATGCAATCTTGTCCATAACAATCTGCATTTCATTTTGTTGATGGGACAAATCATTTGTATTTAATAAAGCAGGCATAGAACAAAATAATGCATTTACAATACATAAGCAGACAAGCATTGAAATGAAGTCCTACTTAATTTTGATCATTTTATTTATTTATTTATTACATTTGTTGACCACCCATCTTACCACAAGGTAATTTTGGACAGTTTACAATATTAAAAAGATAAAATATTACAAAGCCTATACACAATACAAGCTAGATAATATAAACAGATAAATACTGAACCATAACTAAAAGATGGGGAGGGAGAGAGTAGGAGGTGTATAAGGGGGAGGTGTGATCTGTTATTAGTGTGTCAACCAAACCCAATCCTTATTTATCAAAAATTTTTCAATGTACAGCAATAGTAATAGCAATAGCACTTAGACTTATATATATTGCTCCACAGTGCTTTACAGCCCTCTTTAAGCGGTTTACAGAGTCAGCCTATTGACCCCAACAATCTGGGTCCTTATTTTACCAACCTTGGAAGGATGGAAAGCTGAGTCATTCTTTTTCTGAAAATTAACTGGGAAATAATATGACCTCTTGATTTAAAATAATCAAAGTCACCGGTGCAGAAGTGCTCTATTCTAGTGAGTTATCACTTGTGTTATTTAGGAACACAATCTTCCAAAAGCCCAACATACAGGAACAATGCTAAGCCTAACTACCAACCTATTACTCTTCTGGAAGACTAGATTAGTAAAAATAAATTACTAATGTTAACATTACTAGAGGAGATGTATCCACTAGTATCCTAAGAATTACTGATCCACACAGTCAAGAATGTTAGTGTAGATATGATTATTGAAAGAAAAATCTTCATCAGGGTCCAGTCTAAGCTGGGAATAAACAAAATGGAGACTGCTTTTGAAAGAAGATTGTAGTTAATTGAAGAGGAGAACTAGACAGAAAAATGGCTCTGGAAAAACTGACCACATGTAGCAGTGTGTGGTGCCTTTTTACACCTTCTGGGGCTCTTGAGGTTGATTCCTGTTCCTGTTTGAGGCTTTGTATTTCCTGTGTCATGTACTTTGACCTGAGTCTGAGTGTGTCCTTTTTATGTTGGTGGGTTAATCCTATTATGTTTCCTTTTTTTTTTTTAATTGAAAATTTTTATTTTTTAAAACATACAATCATTTATAAAAATACAATAAAATTTTAAAATAGAGAACCCCCCCTTACCCTCCCTCCCACCCCCACCCCCCCTCCCTTCACTTCCCAGAGCAGAATACAGGGTTAAGAAAAAAAAAGAAAAAGAAAATTATAATAATTAAAAAAAAGAAAAAAAAGAGAAAGAAAAAAAATATCATAATTAACCTTTAACTCCATAACTTATAAAACAATTCTCTATAATATTTGATATTCATTCATAAAATAAATAAAACTTTTTAATTCCATATTTTTTCTGAATATAATCTATCCACCTTCCCCATACAGTAATATATCTTTCTTGTGTATGATCCTTTAAATAAGCAGAAATTTTTGCCATTTCTGCAAAACTAGATACTTTAAATATCCATTCTTCTAAAGTAGGCAAAGAATCTTTCTTCCAATATAGACCTACTAGTAACCTTGCTGCAGTTAATAAATTCAACATCAAAGTAGTTTCTTTTTCATTTAAGTCAACAAAAATACCAAGTAAAAATAGTTGAGGAGTAAACTTTATCTTCTTTCTAAAAATCTTTTGAATGTTCCACCAAATCATAATCCAAAAAGCCTTTACTTTTTTACAATTCCACCAAATATGAAAGTATGTCGCATCATTATTGCCACATCTCCAACATTTGGGCTGTATGTTGGAATACATACAAGATAATTTTTTAGGATCTAAATGCCATCTATAAAACATTTTATAAAAATTTTCTCTCAAATTTTGAGCTTGTGTAAATTTAACATTTCTTATCCAAATTATCTCCCATAAATCCAATGAAATCGGCTCCTGTATATTCTGAGCCCATTTAATCATACAATCTTTAACCAATTCTGTTTCCGAATCTAACTCTAATAAAACATTATATATTCTTTTTATATGAGCCGGTAAAAAATTTTCCAATGTTAAAACAAATAACAATGGGGATAATGGACATCCTTGTCTTGTCCCTTTTTGAATATTGAAATTCTCAGTCAATCCCCTATTTACAACAATTTGTGCAGATTGCTGCTGATATATAGCTTTAATTGCATGTAAAAAATTATCCCCAAAATTCATTTTCTCTACCAAAGAAAATAAAAATTGCCAATCCAATTGATCAAAAGCTTTTTCAGCGTCCAAAAAGATAAAAGCCACAGGAATCTGATTATTCTTATCCAAGTACTCAATTAAGTTAATAATTTGTCTAACATTATGTTTCATATATCTCCCTGTTATAAATCCTGCTTGATCACTATGAATCAAGTCTTTCATAACCTGCATTAATCTATTTGCCAAAATTTTTGTAAAGATCTTATAATCAACATTCAATAATGAAATTGGCCTATAATTCTTAGGCTCTGTAAGATCCTGATCTTCCTTCGGAATCAGTGATATAAAAGCTCTTTTCCAAGAAGGAGGAACTTGCATACCCAACAAAATACTATTAAAAAGTTCCTTTAGTGGCTCTATCATTTCTTCAGATAAAATCTTATAATACCTAGAAGTCAGTCCATCTGTTCCAGGAGACTTTCCAACCTTTAACTGCTTAATAGCTAAGAATCCTATTATGTTTCCTGTCCTTATAATTTGGTTGGGGGTATGTAGATTTTAGGAGTCTTTGTCTTCTTAATTTCTTCAGTTTCTAGCTGGAAGGCTCAAACCTTTCTGAAAGGATTATTGAATTTGCATTTCTAAAAGCTGGTCTCTGCCTAGTGGCTGGGGCTGATTTCTGGGGGCTATTTTTTGTCTTTTTTTAAGATCTTCTCCATTATTCCTTTGGGGAAATATAATATTCTGCCTTTTAATATTCCCAAAAATATTTCTTTCTCAGGGGGTGGGGCTGACTTCCCACATGATCTTATCTCAGTCAATTGCATCAGTGCCTAAACTGAAAGAGAAACATCTCCAGTTGTGGCAAAAATGTGATAAAGTATGTTGCTACTGAACTGAGAAAAAAAAAGCTTCAGCCAGATTCATTCTTTCCTAATAAAAATAGTTCTTTGTGATTTATGTTTCCCTCAGCAAAAGAACCCCACATTTTCCAAATCTCCTACCAGCGATTCAGTTGTTAAAATCAAGAGTCATTATAGCAGCTTTCCCCCAATCTTGTGCATTCAGGCATGACTAACCATTAGCCCATCATTTTCAGCCATGGTTATGGCACTGTTAAGTAAGCATGATAGTTAGTAAAGTTCAACCTACTGAGGCGGGAAACATTGCTGCTGTTTAGATGCTTTTATGTTTAGAATGATGCAGGTTAGGAGCCATAATTATACCATAATTTAAATAATTAAATATATTAAAGCTGGACCCTGATCTGAATGTCATGGTCTCTTTCTTACCCAGAAGAAAGTGCATGTATGGATTGTTATACAATCTGATAAATGTGCTCATATTACTGCCTAGCAGTAATTTTATGTCGCTCTAAGCATACCTTTCTAATGATGCCTGTGAAGCAGTGCATGCGAACAACATGGTAAAAGGTGTAGTAACCCTTCCTCATATACAACACACACAATACTATTGTCCTGCACAGCAGAATCTCTCAGAGTTGGATCTTTCTGTTTGTGGTGTATCATATGGGACTGCATTCTCAGGAGCTGATTAGACATTCAGCACTCAAAAATCTCATGGTTTTCTTTTGTTGTAATGTTAGCATGTTAGGAAATGCCTCTTTTAGCAATGCAACTTTTTTTAAACCACGAGTATTTAAGGCAAGTTATTTAAGCATCCATTTCTGCTGGTTAATCCTGCTATGTGACCTTCCTGCATATTTTATGATCAGTGAGGTGCAAAACAATAATTCCAATAGAAAATCATACATGTAGTTCAGTGCCTCACCAGTTTTGTTAGAGTGTGATTTTTCTCTTTAGTAGTTCCCTGATTTTCTGCTTGATTGTTTGTATGGTGTTAATTTCTGCTGAATCTGTCCATGTGTTGTGAGAACAAGACACACAACATATTAAAATGCATGCAAACTCTGGACAATGGGAATCAGGTTAGCCAGTCTTTAGAAAAGCATTATATTTATATTTAATGACAAGGATTCTAATATTTATTTATTTATTTATTTATGAGACTTATATACCGCTTTAAGTGCAAACACTCTCTATAATATCCCAGCCTTTCTGTGATTCTATACTTAAGTTCATTCCCATAAAAGATTTTATGATAACTAACATTTGCCTTGTGGGTGGACTCCAGTGGCCCATGGTCCTCCTGTTTTTTATTTCCAGATATTTTATCTGCCATGTGTTTAACATTTATCTTTGAAATCAATATTGTTTATTGATTACGTATTGAGTATTTCATTTATACCAGAAAAAAACCCTGTGTGAGGGTTTGAAAAATGGCTTGAAAAATGGTCCAAATCCATCCTGGGTCCTCTGTGACTGATAAAGAACTGGAACTTATTTCTCCCTGGGAACAAACCAAAAACTTGCATTGTTTTACCACACTGGTGGTTTATTCTTGTGCTACTTTTTTACTTTTTTATAGCAATAGCACTTAGCTCTTAGACTTATATATTGCCTCACAGTGCTTTACAGCACTCACTAGGCAGTTTGCAATGTCAGCATATTGCACCCAGCAATCTGGGTCCTTATTTATTGACTTCAGAAGGATGGAAGGCTGAGTCAACCATGAACCCCGTTGGGACCAAACTCCAGACTGTGGGCAGAGTTAATCTGCAATACTGCATTCTAACCACTGTGCCACCAGGGCTCTTTAGATAGGTATTATTAATGAAATGTTGCTTTATACTTATTTTATAAACCACTTTTAACAAAAAGATTTGGGGAATCCATTTCATCATTTAAAAAAAAACATGCTGTTGCATTTTTCAATAGCAGCTACAAGCCACTGCGAGATGTTTCCTTCCAAAAGGAACTTCATCCTTGTGCCCTTGTTAGTCAAGGGATATTGAGATTTGTGACTTCCATTTTATGCAGATGTGTCTGTGCATTTAACTGTTAATTGCTAATTATTTCTGTTATCACATTGCCTGCCAAGGTGACTGTACTGGTTAGAAATATCTCAGTAGCCCTAGGATGTTAAAAATGCCAAAGCTTTGTCAAAGCTAGAGGTGACAATTCTGAAGTGTTAAGTGATGATCTGACTAACAGAAAAACCAAGGCACCAAGATAACATTTTTATAGCACCTGACATTCATTCAAATACTGTATTTTCAAATGGTGAAATCAAGGTGCAAGTCATTGAACAATGACACATCAAGCATGTGTGCTCTAATATACTTTGGGCTGGGAACAATGTTATTTCTTTTTATTAACAGTTGTAGCTGGTGCATTTATCTGCCACATACCATATTATTTACTATACTCAAAGCTTACGTGAATGTAGGTCAATTTATAGGATGCTACCAATTTACCCACAGTAGCACTATGTAATAGTTATTAGCACTTCAAAATAAAGGGCTGTTTCTTTTTCTCTCCTTAATGGGTTTTTCAAAGATTAATGTCTGAATCTTTCACACATCTGTAAATGGGAAATATTAGAATATAAAAATTCTCTCCCCTAGATTTTTTGAATGCAGCTAAGCAAATACTCAATAAAATGTCATGTGGTGACTCCTGATAATTAAAAACCCCATCCTCATCTGACAATCCAAATAAAAAGAAAATAATTTCAAAAATATTCTGCTAAACTACTTGTCATTCTTCTGGGAAGACTTAGGAACACCAGGTGATAGGCTTATCTGATCTGGATTGCAAAAACACTAGATGACTAGAATTTAAAAAAAATAGAGTTACAGAAAACAATATTTTTCATTTGCCATCTGGATTTTTACAAAACAGATCCATAGCCATAGATTTATGTCAATTTTTATTTACACTCAAAAAACACAATATGCACACGAACACAAAAACTGAACAAATAGTATGTTGAGCAATAAGTGCTATGACACTACATGATGGACAGCATTATACACCAAACATACATTTGTGATCCTTCTGGAAATCAGTATAGGCTACAGCTAAACTTCTATGAAAATTAACCAAACCAGGGTATTATTAAATTCTAAGTCTAGGCTGTGTAAAAGGGTTAGCAAAGAAGTATATTTATACAGTAAAGGATTCAGTCTCCCCAATTAGGCAAGAGCAGAGCTGCCTTTACAAAGGAATACTGTACTATTTAAACTCCCAACAGTGAGGATGGTACAACATCAAAAATAAGGACTACCCTGTGATCTGTTACCAGAATAAGTCACCATTGAAAAGGACTTCCAGGCAACCTGATCTAAAGAGGGAAGGGCTAGAATTTAAATCTTTCTACAGATTTATATTCAGAACTCACTGTGACGGTTCAGGCAAGAGTCAAAGTCATACATTGGTAATATGGTTCGCAAAATTTTAGGTTTGGATTAATACCTATCATCCAAGATGGTGTGGAATTGTCTTAAGAAGGCTAGAAAGCTCCTGAGGAAAGTCATATTAGGCCAAAATTTCAAGCATAGAGCCACATACAAGCACCTTTAAAAATAAGCTGGATTCTAAATTTGGCAAGGAATTGGAAACTCATAGCAGGGTCCTTAACATTTTGGATTGGATAGGTTTGAGGGGAGACACATTTCAGTAAATACAGATGTGACTGCCATATGTCAATAAGCTCATGACTTTGTAAAAATATGAAATACTTCATGCTTTGCATGTCATCCTTGCACAGGTTTCAGGAACAATACAGAGAAGATTAGTATAGCAGAAATAAAATTAGTGCTCCAGTAAGGATAATCCAAAGGGAAATCAAACATAAAATTTTATATCAGAAATAACTAATGACTAATAACTAAAACAAATGACTCTTTCCCCTTTAATGGGAATTATTTTGTTTTTAGATAGCAACTAAAGGTATGTAGAGTGGGCAATAAGTTTAACTATACTAGACGGAACAAATTACACAATACTTGCCATGCCTTTAAAAAAAACCCGCTTCCATTGCTATTCAAAAGATTATTCCTAATCTCCATTCATCACTTGAGCCAGAGGCAAGTTTGTGTGCTGCAGGAATGTGATAAATCATTCAGATAGAGAATAGTTTAAATTATTCATTCTTCAATAGTGTTGAATATACTGTACTTAAAAGGAGAATTTAAGAGAAAAATGGTAATAGGCTGTTGTCTAGGCTTCTCCAAAGTGGACAAGGTTTATCTTGAGAATAAGATATAATTTCCTGCAAAACAGTAATTATTTTCACCGCACAATGCAAATAGCTTAAACATATTCCTGGTGCAAGCTTCCAGGTTAAATGGAATACAAAACTCAAATTTCAACACTTGATATCTTTGATAATAAAGAGGATGATCTGTGCTGGGTTTTGCTTAGAAGATCAATACAGGGATTTTTAGTTTGATTACTGAGGCTAGTCTCCACGGACCAGAGGAAAATAACAAATAGAAAAGAAATTCCAATTACCATCAAAAAAGAAAAGAAACCAGAAGGGATAGCAATAAAAAGAACCCAGGTGTTTAAAAATTAAAGGCGATTTCAAGGCCATCAACAGATAAAATGTATGAATGAAATTTTGGGTTTTTTTAATAAAAAAAATTATCCCATGAAATTCTGTTGCAAGAGTATCTCAAACACTTACTCAATTCTCATTGTTACCTGCTCCAGCTTGCCTACTGAAGACACACAGCCATGAAACACAACCAGGGTACTGACATTTTAAAAATATAAATCAACAACTACATCTCACAGTGTTTAAGTGGAAAGTGACAGAGGTAAAAGATAAAGGGCAAACAATCTCTCTATTATGAATGAACACATAACTCAGGAGAATGAATAAAGTACCAAGAAGAATGTACTTCATAGACATAGCACAATATATCTAAAGGGAAACCATTATTTCTTCATTCAAATCTTTCAAAACATTACAACCTTTTTTTCAAGGAGACTAGATGTTTGATTCCTTTTCTGGGCAGTTCTCAAAAAGCTGTCTGTCACAGCAATTCTCTTTACTGTAGCTTTTCTATTGAAATATTCGGAAGGTAAAACAAAGTCACAGTATGCAATTAAAACAAAACAAAAGACTTGATTATGAGTGCTAAAAGTCAGAACATGCATTGAAAATCCCCCCCCTTTGTAGGCTCATACCCTAGTTTTGAGTTCTTTAAAAATTTTAAATAATTTATCCTGCTTTACCTTTTGAGGCGGTGTTTTAGAATTTTATGTGCAGAAATCTATTCACCATTTGCTAAAAAGAAGCTGAGTACTTGATCTTAGAGACAACTAACATATTATTTTGCTTGATCATTTTGTTGATCAGGTCCTAGCAAATTGAATCCAGAACAGGAACTGTGTAAAGCAGCCAAAAGAAGAATATGTACCTTATGCATTCAAACATTTGTGATACATAAACCTTTTGGGCACTCCACTCTACTTCATTACAGGAAAAAGCCCATACATGTTTTTATCCTTAAAAGTTCACGAGACACTTGGTGAATGTGTGTAATTGGAAGTTGCTCAAACCTCAGACAGGTGGCAAATTAATGCACATAATTTGTCTGTACTGCAGAGACATATTATGAATAGAATAATTGTCAAGGAAATATGCAGTTGGGGAAATACATATCACCAAAAGCCTGTGTGCTCTTCTTTTGTTGAATAAAATACAACTTACTGTCATACTATGTTGCTCAGCACAGCAAGAACTGCTCTTTATGTTGATTATATCCCTATAAATAAAGGATCTCTGCATTGTACTCCAATAAGATGTATTCTGGGTCACTTTTCCTCAATTTTTAAGTTCTTATTTCATTTGTTAACTATAGGAAAAAAAAGAAAAGAAAATTTGATCATTAACCCAACTCACATTACATGGAGGTAGGTTAAGATTGTTTTTTTCCTACTGCAGTTGAGACTGTGTGGTACAGCTCCATATAATATGGACTTCTAGAACTGGAAAGGGCTGTTTAGGCCATTTTGTCTAACCCTCTACTCAATGCAGGAATACAGATTAAAGCTTCCCAGATGGATGACTGCCTAGCCATTTCCTGAACACATGCCATAAAAGGAAGCCTACAACTTCTCTGTGCAATTATTTTGATTGTTAAAATTGTTCTTACTTTTTTTCTTACATCCATTATTCTGTATTCTGCACTCTGGAATGAGAGAGAATAGGTCCTGACCTTATATGTAATATCTTCCTTGTTATTTTAAATGTGTTAACATACTGTTCTTAGTTTTAAAAGTTAAGAAACCCAGCTCCTTTTATATATTATAAATTATATATATAATTTCTCTGAATCTGAGCATGGTGCCCAGCACTGGATATGTGACTTGTAGTCTGACTAAAGCAGAATAAAACTGGGAAGATTACTTCCTCTGGTTTGGAAATTATATAGCCTAAAATTTCATTTACCTTCTTTGCACTTCGTGTTCATTATAAGTTAATATCCTTGCCTCATTATCATACCTTTGGATCATTATTAGTTTACAGTCAACCACTATTCCAAGACATTTTAGTCAAGAACAAACATCCCTTATTCTACACTTGTACATTTAATTTTCATTATCCAGAATGAAGAACTTTGCACTTGTCTCTATTAAATTTCATCCTGATACTTTCAGTCCATTTCTCTAACCTATCAAGATTGTTTTTAATTATGTTTCGGTTTCCATGCTTGCCTCAGTTGGAATGACCTTCATACCTTGGGTAACCCTGCTGAGAAAATATACTCTTGGTGTATACTTATGGTATTCTTTGATCAGCCCACCAAGAACATCTCCAGAAAGATGATCAAGAGACACATTTTAGCATTCAATGAGTTTAAATCCCCAGCTCCAGATAAATTGCACCCTTGGATACTGAGGAAACATTTGATAGAATAGACCTCTAGGTATAATCTTTGAGGAATCCTGGCAAGCCCATGAAGTGTCAGAGGAGTGGAGATGAGCAGATGTTGCATCTATTTTCAGAAAGAGGAAAGAAAGAGTCAGCCAATTACAAACCAGTCAGTCTGACAGTGATCCCAGAAATTATTCTACAACAGTCATTAAAACATAGAATTGCAAGCACAGTGTAACTAATAACTGGAGATCAGGAAGCATTTTCCTGAGTGCCCAGCAATGGAGTGAGTTCCTATTACTTGCCCCAGCTTCTGCCCACCTGGCAGTCGAAAGCATGCAAATGGGAATAGATAAATAGGCACCACTTTTGTGGGAATGTAATAGTATTCCACGCACCTCAGCATATAGTTATGTTGGCCACATGGCCATCAAAAGTGTCTTGGGCAATGCTGGCTTCCTTAGCTAAGAAACAGAGATGAGCCCAGTAGTGGGATTCAGCTGGTTCTCACTACTTCGGCAGAATCGGTAGCTAATTTTTTATTGCTCAGGCCCAGAATGGACTTGTGGAAGTAGCATCCACCCAGAGAACCAGTTGTTCACCTATTTGAATCCCACCACTGGATGAGCCCTGCCCCTAGAGGGAAATACTGGACAGGGGAAACCTTTACCTTTATCTTTTACCTGAGCCCAATTGAAAAGCATCCAGATAATTGGCTTCCTCCATGCCCTTTAAAGCTGAGAATCCATCTTCCTTAAACAGGGAAGACTGGTGACTGTAATAAATTTACGCAACATCCTTGGATCCAAGGATAGCCTGTTGAGAAGGAGGCAGATGACCTCTTTCTTCAAGGCAGACAGAACTACCTCTCCACAAAGTGGCATTCACTGTATCTGGAAGTCAATTGCCTGCCAACTCCTGAGAGGCCTTAACCATAACCATAAAGAATATAAATGAACTCCAGTTGCTTAAAATACTGCAATCTGAAAGAAGTTGGATACTCTGACACAATTTATTTTATTATGAAGGACTGTTAGGATAAAGGACTGTTTAATAATGTATCTTTCCTATCTCTGCTTCAAATACAGTAAGTCCTGGCAAAGTCAACAGAACCAATTAAAAAAAGGAAGTATTAATAAAGAATGTTCAATGTGAGGAGAATTTATGAAATCACTATGAGGTTGGCATTACACATCCTTTTAAGAAGATATATGGAAAAGAGTTCTGCCTCTAATTGCAGTCCTGGTGGCAGAAAGGACTGGTCTGCTGAACAAACTGCCTTAAGGAACAGCAGTGAAATATATCAAAATTTCGTTCTCATGTAATGTATTGACTTCACCTGCAGCATTCATTGCTGGTTTATAGTGCAACCCTTGCTTTCCCTAAGGAGGGGGTTCTAGTGATTACACACATTAGTCAAATCAAGAATGTATCATGCTATACTGTATCACATTCTGAACCCAACCTTTATCCTGATAATAAGACAAATTTAAAGATGTACCCCATAGCCATGCTGTTCGAGTTAATTTAGCCACCAGATGTCACCACTGGATGTAGGATATACTTCATTTTTTAAAGTGAAAGAGCTCCTAATATATGTGGTAGGAGACTAGGTAGGGGCATCTGAAATGGAAGTATTTATAATTTTTTTTAATTTCCCAGTCAACATTTGTAGGTGACCTATTCATCAAAGTCTAGGTGAGTTACAATATAAATGAATAAAAAACATTCATAAAAACATGTGCAAATCCAGTTTACAAAATATAGAAACTGTTCATTAAAAATGCTGGCCTTAGGCAACTTCTTCCTATTTAAATGCCCTATGAAAGAAGACTGTCTTGATCATCATTGTAAAGGACATAAGGGCCACACCTGACCTCAAGGGTCATGCTGTACAAGAGAGAGGGGTCATGCGGTGAATGTTATACTCTGGGTTCCAACTCCCACAATCTCTTTCAGGATAGGCACTGGAAGGTTCTCTGCTAAATCACTGTGCCATCACGAATTCTCCTGTGTTCTAATTTTTAAAAGACATTTTATTGTTTTTTTTTTAACATTCTTAAACAAAAAGTACTCAAGACCCACTGTGATGGTTAGGTGGTCAAACATTCAAAAGTAAAAATATATATAAACAACACAACTCAATAAATTTCATTATCCCCTCTCTATTCCCCTCAGTAACATAATACATTTAAATATTCCACTTCTATTTTAAATTTCTATCACTATTAAACCTGTGTTATAACTTTATCAGTTTACAAATACAATAGTTTAAATTTAAATAAAAAAAATTATCGATTCTAATTCTTAATCTCTCACATCCCTCATTTTATACCAAACTCATTTATTTCTTCTTCCACTATACAATAGATATCTTAATAGCAATAAAATATTGATCAGCCCTATATATATGTAATCCCAAAGTCAATCCATCTCTTTAAAATAACAAAATAATACTAAACCTTGATTCATTCATATGCATTAAACAAAGTTCAAATTTTCTCCAGCTTATCATGCCTTATCATGTCTTTGTAGTCATACAAGAAATCTAACCTAGTAATTTAAAACATTCCATAAATTATTAAAAGCATCCCAATCTAAGCAATCATTATTTTTGCAATTCCAGTAAATAATAAATTTCATATATTTCCCAAACGCTACATAGGTACAATCCAATACATTCTTAATCTATTTAAAATATCTACTCTAATAATCACTCTCCTATATGTATATATATTTAGTTGCTTCTAACTCTGAATCTTAGTCCTTAAAACAATCCATAATTCCAGTATTGCCTTTTATTCCATTACATAATTTTAAATTTCTCTTTTAAGTCTAATTCTAGGTTTTTTCCTGTACCAAGTAGGTTTCCATAAACACGCTTCCCTTTCAATCAATAAGTCTATTTTGGTTGCTTGGAATGGCCTTTGAAGAAATAAAAGTCCCATCCTCTGCATCAGACGTCTGTTTTTCTCCTCTTTAAAATATCGTTGCTTTATAATTTCAAATCTCAGTCTTTGCTTTTTCTGTTCCTCAAAGTTACAGATGAAAGGCTTGTAAGGTAAAATAAGCCCCTCTTTTATCTCAATTGGTTCCTCTTCTAATGTAATTTGGTTTGTAGAATAATCAAGTGTAGTCTGGTCATCCATTTGCATGTTTGAAGTGAAGTTTCTAGATCTTAGTTCTGAAGTGGATTCTTTCAGTATAGTACAAATTTCTGTAGTGACCTCATGTATCTTTTCCAATATAAGCTTATAATTTAATTGTGAATGCAAATTCTCCATTTTGATAGTAGTTAGTAATAGTTTTTTGTTTTATTTATTTGTTTTGTTTGTGGAGGCTGTATTTGGTAAGAGTCTATCTATATCCACCCCCACAATTCCCACAGCTCAGTTTATCTTTTTCCAAAAAAAATAAAAAATAAAATAAAGGTCAGGTCTGGTTTTACTTCAAAGAAATAACCAAAAGATGCAATATTAAATTTTGGCCACTAGATGACCTCAGTAAGTTGAAGAAGAATCTTTTCCAAACAGCATTGCTTTGTTTCTGTCTTTAAAAGTATAGTGTGAAAGAAGAAATAATCTTCCAGCACCAAATAGTAGTACAGTCCTTAACAGAACAAAAAAGAAAGAAATTTCTGTATCCCAAAAAGTATGAAAATAAATTTTAATCTTATAAAACGCTTTCTTTCCCAAAAATATCAAAGCTGCTTTCTCTAGCCAGGGAAATAATTCCAATGAGGCTCTTACAGAAAACAAAGTCAAGTAGAGAGAGTAACAAGGAAAAATCTCACCCGGATTCACCACGGGGGCTCTTAACGCTTAGATGTTCTTGACTTGCGGTCTGAAGCAGCAGGGTGATCGGCCATTTTACTGGCCAATCTTCTTCTCCGTCAGTCCTCAGAGATCGCCCAGACAGCTGGAGGAGCCGCCGCTCCTCCTCAGCTGAGCCAAAGCCTCTTCGACAGAAGTCACACCCTCCAGGCAACTTTTGACCTGTATAAGAGTCGACCGGCGGAGGGAAGGCTAGCCGTTGAGGAGACGAGTCTCTCCGTAAGGCTAGAGTCGCTGCGAACCGGAACCGGAAGTCACAAATTCTCCTGTGTTCTAAAGGCATTAAGAACACAATCTTTGGGGAGCACAGTCTTTTGCTTTTCCACTGGAACAGAAAAGAGCCATGACAAATCAGAATGGCTCATGGCTCTCTATAATACAAGAGAGTTATAAATATACAAATATATACTTAACTGGTAATCTCAGGAAATGCAAAAGTATTAATATGTTGGCTCCTGCAATATGAGACTAATAACATGGGTAGGTGGCAAACTATAGGCAAACTATACCTCAGGACTCCTCTTCGTTCAGCACGGATAGAGCCATATATGTCCCAGCATGTTTTGTCTTCTCAATGACATTTATACAGTTTATTGTACAAAAGGAGGCCTGACAAGGGTGAAGCCAGGTTTTAAT